TGTATCTCATTTCCGATCGAGCACACGTTTGTCGTATATTTTAATACGGCGGTTTTACGCTTAAGATATTTCCTGATGGTGAGCAATCTTGTTTGCGATTTCGTTGTTATAATAAATATTTCATTCTGGTTTTCTCGAAATAGCGCGAGGAGGATTTAACTGGTTTCACGGTTATACGAGATTCCATTTATAGATAATTGGAACTGCATAATTAAAGTGTACATAGTCAAGTTTATGGCAAGGACCCGTCCTCCGCCTCTTTAAATAAAACACAGCTGAAGACTATGTAGAGAATAAAATATATCTATTATTACATGCTCCAATATACGACAAAGAAGATTATAATTATTAATATAGAATAATATATTTGTCGTATATTTATATATTATAAGAAATGCATCAAGCTGTTTTTTTTATATTAAAGAGCATATAATTTATAGCTGTATAATCTATACAATTTGATAAGACTGGCTATAACATTACGATAATTAATGAAGATTTATGATTATCTGTTAATTCACACGAACCGTATAATTTAAGAATGCTATTAGATACGAGTCTCATAAAAAAATTAACGAATTTCCGCTTCTAACATCATAATTTCCATAAGTATCATGCAGTGACAAGCCGAAAGGGCTCATTCGATAACTCATCAGGAACGAAATCCGCGTATTGCAGCAATATAAGGCAATATAAATTGACATAATAATAATTGACATAATAATTTATTACTGATAATTTACTTGCGATTTGCGCTATTTACATGCAACAAAGTAATTTCGATTTTTCGATATTTATATGCTAGATATACAGAATCACGATCCGAGAAAGTCGACGTGTCGACAATTTTTTCTCGGATAGCGCTGGATATGTGTGTGGGGTAAACATGCAAGAAATAAACGCAAAAGTTTTTCAATAATAAAAAGTCATAATTCCTCTTCTCAATTTTCGATAAACGTTACCTAATACATTTGTCCTTCTTTGTACCATATCATATATGTTTAACATACGCACGGAGTAGGGCGTACGCGTTCCTTTTTTTACGCTCGTACACGGAGAGAATAATGTGGCAGTAAGCGGCAATCTATATCGAATTATGAGAGCGTGGACCGGCGTGTCGTGAGCAGACGGATCTTGTGACAAATAATTCGCTCGATTGCATATATTAGCGATTTTGTGTACGCGCGTTAACACAACGTTCGTATTTTATTATGTATCTATATTAACATATTTAGTAGCCATTATGGTATTATGTTCGCGCTAAACCTTCTACCTACTGGCGATACTACGCTCTCACCTGATTCTAGAACATCACACTAGGATTTTATATTGTGGATCTTCATCTTTGAAAAATATATCCAAGAAAACCTGCTCTTATATAAAGAATACGTTGTAGTGTTTCTATCATAAAGTTTATAAATTTTTTGCATCTCTTAATCGATAAAGCTTTCAAGATATTTTTCGCCTGAAAAAATGTTTTGTCTACTGAAAAAATTTTCTCTCTTCTTTAGGTATTATTTTTTTTAAATCCCTTAAAATGAATCTTAGATAAAAAAATCCAGAAAAAAATAGCAGGCGATTGAGCTAGCAGAATCTGTTGGACTTCAGATGTAATGTTCGAGAGTTGGCATTTGAAGTGTGGTGTTTAATAGTTAACGCAACTACACAGGACACTTGAACCATAACTCGCGCGTACTTACATACTTCGATTTCTCTTAATCATGTGTACTTTAAAAAAAATTTTACTCCAAATGTCAGAAACTTGTTTCTAGTGTATGTAGCGTTTTGTATATAGACACCACTAATCTCTGTACATAACTGGATATCCAGTTATGTATAGAGATCAGTGATAGACATTCGTGAATAAAAAAAATATTTCAAGGGTGCCATCGGCATAGCAGTAATTAGAATATCTTTATATAGTAGTTTTTTAACGTTTTAGTGAATATTTATATTTTTAAAAAATAAAAATTTTGGAGTAATATTTTTTTTCTAAAATTGGTTCACATTTTATATTCAATTATATATATATATAATTGAATATTTTTACATGATGTATGTATAGGTACGTGAATATTGATATTTAATATTATTATACTTAATAAAATTTAATAATAAATATATCTCGACATTTCTTTTCAATAATAATATATATTCTGCTCGTTGCGCGCGTCGCCACAATATTTCTCTGCGTGTGAGTGTGCACGCACGTTGCGTGCACGTCGCACACATACCACTGTACATCTAACACACGTAAGGTGTTCGTTCCGCCTCGTACATCCCGCACGTACATACATACATATTGAACATACGCGTGCGAACATTGTCACGCTAACACGCGCGCATTGTGCATCGATACTATTTATAGTTTAATTATATAATGCAATTCTGCAGAGAGGGGATTTTTTCGTCGCGATGCCCGCGTGCGCGCGTACATACACGCATATCTTTGTGGATGCACACCTCTGTATGTAGAATACAGTCGCGTTTGATTGTAATCACAAAACATATAATTTCTTCTCCCCTTTCTTTTCTTGCCCTTCACAACACGATTGTGAAACGGGAACGTAAGTAACGTGCGTTTGTATAATTGTACTACGGTAATATTTTAATCGCGTGTGTGATAAGTGTGATAATAGCGATAGCAGCAGCGGTGGCGAATAGTGTAATAGCACTGTTAGTTCTCATTATGGCAAAATTCTTCCACTATTCTTTACCTTTTTTCTTTTTCCTTTACCCACAATCGCGCATGTGACGATAAACATATTTAATCATTCCGAAATCATATATACATTGTAAATACACCGTGTAATGCGTATTCTTGCTATTCAACAAGATTTACAACGAGCTCCTCGATTTATATGTGTGTATATAGAATCGCATACATAATAATGTGTTATATACACACATATTCATGTTTATTGTGTGTATATTTGTAGGCGTATATACGCAAACCATGTCGGTCCAATAATAATCTTCGCCGCCGTAAGAAAAATTAGTTACATATAATTCGCACAAGAAACGCTTACAATCGCTTGGCATATCGCGTGGGACCCGTCAGTCCTTATTAGTTTTGTATTACTTAATGTGCTTGGTAAGTGCTATCTTACACGACACAGTCAGTTTCATTCACTAAACGATTAAATCTATTTATACAAACTAGCTGTAACAGGCGAGACGTATTTTATACATTGATCAAATAAGAATTCTCTCTGTGTTTCGGATAATCAATATATTATTTAGTCTACCTAACAATGCGTTAATTGTCCCTTAACGAATACATTAATTGCGAAACCTCCCAGCGAGCGAAAAACTTATAACTTCATTTGACTTAATTCTAGAGTTCGTTATTATCATTTTATGATTCTCTATAAATTATTTACATTTTATCCTGTGCAACACAGCGATATATTTGTTGCATGTAAACTAATAATTCACATTTTTTCTTTTGCATATATATATATATATATATATATATATGTATACACACAAAATACATACAAAATACATGCCGTAGCGAAAATCGAATCGAATTAAGAAAAAGTCAGATTTGTAGTTGTCGACCGAGGTGGAACGACGAAGAAAAGCTCTTTCGTGTTTCGGCTTTGAGAGGAACAAAAATAAGAAACTTAACGCGGTCGTAAAACTTTTAGTTTGAAGCGAATTCACGATCGACATTCATTATTAGAGTAAACGGAAAATAAATTTTAAAAAAGTAAAATACAAAGAAAAGTATTTTTTTGACACGCATTTGGATTATCTTCAATTATGAATCGCTAATTTATTAGAATAATGAAAACCGTGATGATAAAATACAAAGCAATTGCTAAAGTTGATTAACATCATTTTAATAATCGCTTAAATTATCAAAAATAAATCATCGAAGTAATAATTGTTAAATCTGATTATTTAATTAGTACATTGTTATTGTACAATATTTATGTGATATTATATTTGCGATCAATAAATTGATAATTATAATAAATTTATAATTGATACGCATGGGAAGAAATTATTATCCGCACTGTTCTTTATTAGTTTAATCTTCGAAGTTCATCAGAGATTTAACTCTGGCAATAAATTATTTATCGAGATCATAATTTATTAACATTGTTATTGAATAATATCTAATATATATATGTATACACACAAAATACATACAAAATACATGCACGCACATACGCGCACGCACGCACACACATACACATACATACATATAATTTGCGCAAGTATGCAAGAAAATATCTCTTTGAATTGTCAATAATTCAAGTTGCATCTTTGGATGTGGCCAAAAATAGATTTAACTAACACGACAGATCGTAGGTGGGATATCTTTTCGATGAAGGATGGTCAATCGTACATTGATTAGATTAAAATACATCGTCGTTGTATCATACACGAGTTACTTTCGCAAAATAAAAACATATATGCTACAATTAATAAATAGAATACATAGATTTTATTCATGTATACATCATTATGCCTCATGATTAAAACGAGCGAGTCCGATCAATGATGCGTTGACCGATCCTTGTATATATAGTATTTAATAATTTTCAAATTATTTAATATTATATTCCTATGATGCAGATTAATAATTTATTCAAGATTACTCGATATGCACGGTATAAGAGCATTTTTTTTTAATTTAATATTTTATCTCTCTCTATATATATATATACTGCTAGATCGATACTGATTAGGTTAAAACGCTCTATCATTTTTTTTCGCTATTACACATAGGCAATTAAGTATTTATACCTGATGGGATTTCGTGTAATATAACGTTTATCGGTTTTCAATAGAAAACAAAGAAAAAACAAGAAAACATATACAGTCATACAAATCTAAGTACGTAACTACGTTAAAAATTCCATCAGATATGCCACTAATTTGTGCTTTATCGATTAAACGTGTAACAAAGAAGTACATTTTTGAGACTTTAAAGTAGCAGCCCTATCACAGTGTGGCTCGGAGTGAAGGCGATTTTTATCCATTTAAAAATGATCAGAAGTATTTATAAAACAGACTCTATTTGCTTGATTTCCTTTTCAGGTGGTTCTAAGGGTGACGGCGCAGTTTCTATTATTTCCGGTAAGTCCTCCTCGTTCTCTTCCTCGATATCTTCGTCAATTGGAGTCAATGTATCTAATATCACAGGTTGAGTCTGCAACAAATAGAATAATTCGTTAATGCATTAAACCCTGTTAAGTGCAAACGCATGCTGAACGCTATATTATAATAATAATTTATTTTTATAAAATAATCCTGAATCTTTAAAAAGGAAGATTAATATAAATTGCATTTTTACCTGCGGTGTAGTGCACCGTTTCATAGCAGGGGCCATGAAACTAGTAATAGTGCTTACAAGGAAGAAAAACCCTGCCATGAAAAACGGGATGCTATAGCTTTGCGTTGCGTCGTAAACAGCGCCCGCTAAGGGTGAGCCAACTATAGCAGCAGCCCCTCTGAACAGAATTAAAAGGCCGAAAGCGTTCGTTAATTTGTCTAATCCCAAGAGATCCACCAAAATGATCGATGTTAATGAGATATACCCAGCTGAAAAATTATAAAATTATCATTCAAGACAAAATTTGCAAATATCACATTTTAATACTTAAAATAATAATTTTCAATCGAAACATCATAGATATTAGATAATTATTGTATAGTTGAAATACTTACATATTGCTATTCCGAAAAATATGCTCATAATAATATAAGCGGCGTAAGTATGGCAAAATGGTGTTGCAGCTACTGCGATTGTAGATATAATTAAACAAACATTATTTAACAGTAAGGAATCAACTTGCGGAAAATCGGCCACATATCCACAAGCCACACGACCTATAGTGTTCGTTATTCCAATGATGGATAATAAGAACGATGCAGAATTGCTTTCAATTCCCTTAAAAAAGAAATAGAGATATAGTTGAATACGTGTTATTATATGCAACGCGATATAATGATATAGTGAAAATTAATAAATAACATACATCTAAGACCGCAGCATCCACCAGATATACAAAAGGAACATATAATCCAGCCATACCAAACACGTTGCTAATACCAATTAGAAGGAAAACGGGATCCTTCAATAAGGACATGTCCATCATCGTCGCTAGAGCTTCTTTAAACGAGTCAGGTAATACCAAGCAAGGACATAAAGGTTCTAAGAAATTAAAAAATTTATATTAATTTTTTTGAAATTTTTAATAATATCGATTGAATTTTGATATCGAAAACAATGTATATACATACGTTGTTGCGCTTTTTCGATATCAATGTCCTTCATGTCACCACGTACAGATTTGGGAATAGATATAACACTCTGACGATAATTGGCGAGAGATTTCTGGCTTTGGTATTCTGGTAAATTGACTACGCTACCACTGTAGAAAATATCCTTTCTCGATAAGGGACGGACCATCATTGGTTTTTCCTTTGGGATACTAGTTTTACTGGTAGTAAAAGTAATACTCTCACCATCCTAGTACAAACAAAAATATTGTATGTTATTATTATTATATTAATGGAGAAATATGCGATTAATTTGTCTAACAATATATAAAAGATATAAATCTAATCAACATCTCTCCCGTAAGATGAAACATTCAAATCTGTAAATGTATAAACTTACATCAACTTCAGCGTTATTATTTCGCGATCCCAGCATACTACTTGTGGAAAGTCTCAGATGCAAGCTCTTTCTGATATCTCCATTAGAGTTAAGCGTTGTCCTAGAGTTTTTTATTGCACTAAGGCTAGGCTTGTAGCGCTCGCTGGTACTCGTTTTACGAATTCTATCGAAGAATGGCACAGAGCCGTTTTTAGGCAAACCTTGAACGTGGGTCGTGAAAGCCGGCTGCGACGCGTTTCTGGGGATTATCGTCTTATTAAATTCATTCTCGGGCTTCTCCGCGTCCTTGGCGTCTTTGGTTTCGTCGATATTCTTGCTTTTAGATTTATTCGAAATATTCTTTAAGTCCATGCTGCCGCTATCGCTAGTATGCCCACTGGAAGAGTGCTCTTGTACCTTCACTTCGGATATAGTCGGGAGGGTTGGCACCGTTGGAACTGGTGTTAAAGGAGTTCCTTTAATATTATGGTTATTTGATAACGAGTATACACTCCTCAAATAATCGAAATAATTATCATCTTGATTACTTGACGAGGTATACCGGTCATAATGAAAATGATATAAACCATATAATTTTGTTTTGAGATAATTAGATTTTTGCATATTAAAAAATATTTTTTAATAATATCTTCAAAAAATTATCATATTAATTAAAATATTCTTCTACTTTTTTTTATATATTTTTCAATCTTATATATATAACTATATACAAAACAAACAACATGATTAACTTAAAAATAAGAAAATAGAATTTTAAAAGTAAAAAAGCGATTTTTGGATCGTTATCTTTCAGAATAAATTACAATAAATAACGATTAACTTTATTTCTCTATATTGTTATAACTCGCGCCATTTTCACAATCATAACGAGATATACCAAAGGGTACCGATCGCCAAAGAATTTCTTACCAGGCACTAATTGGTCTAAATTGAAACTGGAATGAACACCAGGATCAATATTGATTGGCATTTTCATTCGCTTTTCCATAGATCCGTCCGGCAATTGTACCATAAAATAAGAACCACCGATGCTGCCACGTTCCATCTGAAATCTCTTCTCTTCGGCCATTCTTTGTAATAATGGTTTAACAGAAGAAGCTTTCGGATATTCCAAAGGTCTCATCATGGCACCAAATACCTAAAAATCATCTGTTAGAATTATCAGATATACGAGATATACTATCTCGATTAATCTAATGCGTTGTATTACTCCTGCATAAGCAAAGCAGCGAAGCGTAACGCGAATGAGATATTTCACTGTTTACTTACTGCGCAATTTAAGATGAGACCAGCCAGGATTAGATTTGCTCCCTTCCAGCTATATGCCTCCAGCAACATGGTCGCGAGAGGCGCAAATGCGAACGTGCCGAATCCCGATCCGCATACGGCAATACCCGTAGCTAAAGATCTTTTGGTTTCAAAGTAATAGCCTACGCAAACTACTGCGGGTAGATATATCAAACCAAATCCAATTCCTAAAAGAGCAATAGAGATATGAACTAGAAAGAAACTGGCGAGGCGTAAAGAGATTGCGCGAGTAATCGCGAAAAAAATGTAATTATTACGCACCTCCCATAATGCCGTAAGTCATCATAAGCATATTTACACTGCTTGAAAATGTTGAAAGTACAAATGCGGCGGCGCCTAAGAAACTTCCTGCCATACATACTGCTCTACAGCCATACTTATTCGTTAAAGCACTGACGACAGGGCCTATGACAAGGAAAAATTCATATTTATCCATTACAATTTATTTTAATTGGCTATTTAATTTAAATTGATTTAGTACGAATTTTATCAGAAGTTCCATTTATAATAAAATCGTAATTCCATCTTCTTTCAATAAAATACAATTGATTAAAAGATAAGCTTTTATTATTCTCGTATATTGATATTAAATATCTTTCGGCAATTATATCTTTATAAACAAAACTTTCGTTAATAGAAAATTAATTTTTCTTATAGAAAATATAATAAATGTTAAAATATATTTTTTAGCAGTTATTGTGCATTCTATGTTTTAAAATTCAGTACAAACGAAATTTTGAAAACATTCATGTTTATATCTTACCAGCGCTAAGGTACATTCCAGATAACAACGAGCCAACCCAAGCGGTCTTGCCCTTTCCTTCCCCAAAATATTTAACAAACTCTCCTAGAAAAACGCCGAACGTATAGGCAATACCGTCCACTATCATGTTACACATAAACGATGCAAATACCACCACCCAACCATAACCACCGTCAGGTGGGGGTGGTATATCGTGGTATTCGCAGAGCGAACCTCCCTCATCTTCGGGCGAAGCTTCATCGCCGCCCGGTCCATCGGCCCCCGTTAATCTCGATTGTTCTTCTACAGAATATTCGCTCTCCGTCTAAAAAGAAGCGTAATAATAATTTTCAATTTTTTACAAACTCATATAAAATAACATATTTTATGCATTTTGAAAGTGTTACATTCTTCTAAATTTTTCTCTGTAAGAGATGCTTTTTATTTATTAAAAAATAATTCTTATATCATAAGAAACGGCTAGGAAAAAGAATAATTGATTAATTTCAGCTATTTATTTTGTATTGTTATTCATATCATAATCTTGTACTCTTTACATTGTTAAAATATAACAGAAATTGATATAAATTATAGAGCTTTTACTATACAACTCGCAATTCAAACTTTTTATGCTTCAATAATTCAGTGCGCATAATTTTATGACACAGCTTATATCTGTATTGCGTATAATAATTTCGTAGAAAATCTGGAAAATAATATAATTGAAGACTGTCTTATACTTTGCAACACAAACGCGTTACTTTCGCCTTGAATAAGACTTGCAGTTCACCTTGAATGCTCTAAGAGAAAAAGATCTCTTTTGTGACGCACAAACAAGGATTTATTTCTATAATCACTGACTGATGAAATGTTGTCGATTAGACTTCTTATCATTCAGATCATATGCAATAAAATGCGATATTTTTTTCGATAAAAAGAGAAATGCACGCGTAGAGAGATAAATTAAAATCAAGTTTTAAATTCAATTAATAATAAATTTGTTCTTTTACACATAATGAAAAAAGAAATCATATGCCATTACTTGGTAATGATTTCGTTAATCACGGTCTAGAAATTATCGCAGAGTGTAATACAAGAACAACGCTGCGTGCTATGATGTAGGATGATATCATAATCACGCAAACGCTAGCATAGACATCAAATAGCTATTGTGAGTTAATCAGTCTCTAAGGTTACATATAGTCAAGATGATAGATAGAATGTATCGTTAGAATCAAATCAATAAAGACATGGTTGTTTTCAATTCAATCTGCATTTTTTCTGCGATATAATTGGATTTACCGCTAAGTTATTAGTATGTGATCCATATAAAAAAAAAAGATACTTTAATTAGAATAAATAATTTAAAAAATATTTTTCTATTATAAGCAAATGCGAAGAGAGAAAGAGAAAGATTAATATAAATGTATGTGTGTATTAAAATCAATGCTTATAGAGATAAAAGCAATGATAGAGATAGGATACATCGCGATAAGTTCGCGCTATCAATGTATTATATAAACACATCGCATAAATTAGTTCTATTAAAGGCATGCTTTCTTAGATAAATGAATATTGTTGAGAATTTACGTAGTGAAAAATCTAGGAACATCACTGGCATTTCAAACAAATCGGAAATTTATAACTTATAAGATTTAAAATGATGAGAGAGAGAGAGAGAGAGAGAGAGAGAGAGAGAGAGTACATACAATGCCTTAATAAATAATTTTAGGAATTATATGTTTTTATTAAATTCTTTTTTGCTTATATTTATCAAGTATTATATACTAAAAGTGTTTGTATAATTCTTTTTCTGAAACGTCTCATGTATGTTATTATTTTTTAAATTATTATTAATCATACTCTTAAAAAAAAATCATATTAAATTGATTTATAGTATAACAATAAAAGTAAAAATTTACAGATATAGCTTTTAGTATCCGAGATTCTATTTAATGGATTCCTCATGAGCAGTGGATTTACTTTTGAAGCTATATATAAAATATATTAATTTATTTAATTACCAAATATCATTTAATTTAAGTTTCAGTTATATTGTCAAATGCTACAATATTCAATAATCACCTAGTATCGCTACAATATTCAATTAATATTTAATCTCAAATGAATTCCAATCATCGGGCTTTAATAAAAAAAAACATCTTAATATATATATATATATACATGGAGATATTAATACCGTGATAATCGAGAAGGGAAAATATCGAGCCGCGCATACGCGATATGATATTAATCGACAGAATTTTAACATTTACACGGGTCTTTTACAATATAATTACATGAGACTATTGAATTATAAGAATTAATAAAAGCACTTCGAATGTTATTAATTACTTTAGCAATCAGACAAGATTATCTTAATCGTTAATATTTTAATGATATTAGCAAAATAATTCTTTTCTATAATTTTATTAATTTTCTTTGTGGCTGGATTAGATATAATAAGAATGATAAAATATTATAAGATTATATAATTTTTTGGTTGTATCTAACCATTATTAATAAATGACGATTTATGTAATAGAAAAAATTAGAAAAAATCGTGCAAAATTGTAATTTTTTCTTTTTAAGATTCTTTATAGAGATATATGATTACTGCCCGCTTATATTTTTATATATCTCGCTTTTGTATATCTCACTACGATATATAATTAGTATAGTCCCATTGTTAGAGATTTGGATCAACGATCTCGCGTATCGCGGCCGCGAAGACGAATTTAAATGCAGCGCGTATGTTCGCGTTTGCGTCCGCGCGGATGACTTGGCCGAACGGAAGGTCACAGCTGATCAGCTGATCGCACGCTGTCGCTGTCATTCCGATCGCGCCACCCGACGATGAAAGACGCAAAGCTCACCGCGAGAATCGCTCACGCTCGCATCTGACCTTGCTATTTTCTAGCACGGTATTACTGTCGTACACACGGTATATTACCGTGTTACGCGCCATTGTCATGTGTATGCAAAATGCGTTACGGATCGTGCGTACGAATGCAACGACGTATCCTCTCGTCACAGGTAGCAGTCTGTCGACCATCAAGGCTGTCATATGCCACCTTTCTTCGTAAAGAACTACGCACTGTGCGATTGCGCCAGTGATTATAGACTATGCATAAAAAATGATTATCATTTCAGCGCGACTGAGAGACTACAATAAAAATGCACGCGAATTAAACGGCTCATCTGGATAGATTGTGCAAAAATCGATAACGAAAATATGAAATTTGTAATATACATAGGAATGCATCGATTGTAAATTTTTTACTCCAACATTAAATTTTGAGGAAATTTTCATTTTCCGCAACAAAAGTCCGTGTAAAGTTTGTTCTTTATATATCTAATGGAGCAACATGAAAGGAATTGCATTTTGAAAAAACTTTTTAATACTTTTTCCATGTCTTTCGGATCTTTTTTAAATCTTTATCTTACTCAAGCAGTCACTGGTCGCACCGCCGTATCCGGTAATAAACGAGTCACGTAGGAAACGAGATCGTTGTGTTCCAGTATTCGCAAGACAGAGAGCGGAAAGGTAGAAAGGAAGGAAGGAAGGAGGATGGGACAGATTTTTGAATATAACCGACAGCGCACCAACACACAATTATACCCATATATATACAAACCGTACCGAGCTGATCTTGCGGACGCGACGTGAGCCGTACTGCGACTTGTTGAGTGACACACGCGACATTCTACGGATCGCCTTAAACCGTCAATCACACTTCTCTTTCTCTCTCTTTCTCCGGCACCCTTTTTCCCTTCCTCTGCAGCCTCCTCCTTTCTTTTCGCTCGAAACAGCGTTCTATTTTCGAGCACGCTCGACGCGACGCGAGCGACTCGACGCCGCTCTCTTCGCTCGCGAGCGCGGCTTTATCCCCGACAGATTCTCCGCTCCCTTTATCGTTTATGTTCCTTCCGCACTTTTTCTCACTCTATCACACACACACACACTCTCTCTCCTTCCGGCCCGCCAAACCACCCGTCGACAATCTCACTCGTCGTAATCCGCTGCCATGTCGACTACGACTGTACTACTGGCAGTACTGACGCGCTCGCGTCGTCGGTATCCGCTCGCTTAGCGCACTGCCATCGCGCGCAGCGCACGCCGCGTCGGTATCCGATACTCGCTTCGTCAAGGTAGAAATGGTGGGAGAACGCCACGATCTTCTCTGCTCCAAGGAGAGCGCCTCGAGGACAAGATACTGAGGATGTCCTCGATGCGCCAATATAGAGTTTTTCCCGCGATTCGGCTCTTGAGTTTTCACAGACACATTCCACACTTCTTTCTCTTCGGAAGTTATTCTTTTTTAGTTTATGACGCGGCTAGTTTCGTCGAAAAGATTAAATTACTTTCTCCTGATTTTCTCGATATGTCAATTTTCTTGACATGCTTCAATCTTTACGGTGACTTTTTAATGCAAATTATTTTTTTCCCAGAAATTATTTTTATTTTTGTGTTTACTTTTGTTGCATCTTAAGACAGATCCTCGTGACTCGTCCTCAATATGTGTATCGTGTTCTTCAATATTTTCTTTTCAAATATTATTTTTTATAAAATTTATTTTCTCTTCAAAAAAATGTTTATTTAATATTTTCTTCTTATAGAGAGATTCTCTTTTGAAACTTTAAATATTCGTTGTACCTTGATAATTGGCTACAACTTTCACAAAATTCATCTTACTTATTTTCTATATATTGCCTCTCTTGAAGTTAAATGTTTAAAAAAGAAATGAGTTTCTCTTAGCGGAAAGACGCCAAGCGGCGATTGCGCAGTGATGTTTCTTCTCAATGTGCGCACGTGCCAAGTGACTCACGTGTGTCGCGAACAAAAGATGCATATATGCATATAACGCACTCGTGATGAGCTTTGTCTAATGCCTCTTCTTTCGTCACGTTTTGTCATGTCGATATAATAATACCACTTTTCTCCGGATATTTATTGTTAAACTCACCTCTGTCGAGCTGGCACCCCGCCTTGCAAAAATAAAAAAAAACCAATAGCGTACAATTGTGAGCTATTTATAAACTTTTATATCCCGCAAATGAAAAATTTTGAGCTTGTCACATTGGGCAGGAATTTAATACTTTTTGTGGAGGAGGAGATGGGGGCGGGGGGAGGAGGGTTTCGTCGGCGGTCTTAAACTCTATCTGTCAGAATAATTTTAATGGAGCGATTGCGATCACTACTCGTTTAGAAATACAACGAGAATGTCTTACTGCATTTGATGTTTTCTCGTACTCAATGCAATCATCAAGCACTTTTGGTATGTCCTTGCAATGTACTTTGAAATTTAACAATTATCTTCACTT